TCAAAATGGCTGGAATATAAACATTTATCTTTGTTCATAGTGATTAGGTTGAGGACGTCTCAAGGTATGTTTCATTTTTTTGCCTCCTAGGTGGCCTACAATCCGAGCTACTTTAATGCAAAAAATCAGAATAAGTTTATAGTAAATCCTGTGTTTACTAGCACTCCAGGTACATAACTCTGTGAATGGTTCTCATTGGGGGTGACACTCCCCCTAGAGGCCAAATTGGAAATGGGGGGATGTTTTGGTTATGGTGTAATTCGTTAAAAAATACATTATTTTATTATAAATCACTGTCCTTTTATTTCTCCTTTATATTGGAGTTAGTACAGTATATTGATTTTTTATCATGTTTAGATTGATGATATCCATGGTTTTCATTTCAGCCTAGCAAAGGGGACTTTACAGAAATTTGTTTTATAAAAAGGGAGTTTCTAGTCTGATAGTATTGAGCACCACTACCAAAGAGATTTGGCATCTTTTTCAAAACAGACTTCTAAGTAAGGACAACTACCTTAGAAAGACCTGGAATTCTGAACGGAGAGGCTGCTTGTTCTCTGACAAATTTTAGAAGTCAAGTTTTAAGTCTCAGTATGTTTCCGTAAGCAGCATCTTTCCAGAGAAAGAGCATGATTGAACTTAAAGTAAATGCCAACACAGAGTCATAAAGCACATTAAGGCTCATCAAAAGACAAAGGCTGCATACCTTTGTCACTGTTTTGTTTGTATACAGAAAAGTTCAGAAAAACCACTCAGGGCCATTGATCTCAAATCAGGTGACAGTGGGAAATAGAGCTCCCTGTGGTGTTTACATTTTGCTTGCAAAGGCTCTATGAGGCAGAGGTCAAAATTATTTTCTAGTTCTGCTGCTTTTAGATTTTTAACATAAGGGTTAAAATGGCATGCATTTTTAAATGTTTTTATGTGTGCTTCAGATTTGTGTATTGTTGTTTTTCATATTCAACAGAAAAGGGAAAACAGTTCCTTAGTCTGGAAAAAGGATGCAGTGAAAGAGGTTTTGTATCCGCTTCCACAGATTCAACTGACCAATCCCAGCCCCCTGTACTGGGACGACTGTACCTTAATTTGAAATGTCTGCTTCATGGAAAAGTCTATAAGGGAAGATAGCATTGCTCAAATTATTTTCAGTGCAAATTGTTTCAAAGGGGTATAAGTTAACCCTGCAGTTAACTGTATAAGGGTATATACACTTAAATCTGCTGCCCAGAACCACCCTGCCTGGACTATCCTGATTAGTCAAGGCCTTGTCATGCCATTTCAAACATGAGTTTTTGTGAACCTCTGGCTTAAGCAAAATATCACGCTGCTAACAACTGTTACATTCCTTGTCCAATCCTTAATTGCCCAGTTCATTCACTCATTTAACAAATACCTGTGAAGTATCTTTTGGGTGCCAGGCACTGTTACAGGTGCTGTAAATAAATAAAACAGATAAAATTCTTGGAATTTAGAGGCCCCAAAGGTTGGTTGGCTGGGTGAGTTGCGTTCTCTTAACTATGTTTCTTAGTCTCAAGCTCTTCTACTGAGATTGGGACCAGTCACATGCAACCTGGTTTCCTTCCAGAGACCACTTACAAGCACTTTTCTGTAGGTGGAAGGGACTCTGCAGTGCAAGGAGACCTAGGCTAGAGTTGGCCCTGCTAGTGCTAGTAAGTCACTCCAGGACCTTGTCACACACCCTCTAGGCCCCCCTCATCTCCTCTGTAACAGGAGAGGGTTGGGCTTAAATAATCTCAAAGGTTATTTTGGGGGATAAAAAATGATAGAAGTCTACTTCTGGTTAGAGTGCCGTAGTTAACATATATGTATGGAATCAACTTTTAATTTTTGCTGTAAAGCCAAGGTAGCCAAAAATCAACACTTTTTTTGTTTGTTTTTTTAAATAAAAAGGATAAAAACTTGATTCTTAGGGCTTTGGGATGAAATACTCTGTAACCAAAAGGGTAGCTGATTTTTGTAGACTTCACTATAGCTTCTAATTATCATCCAACTGCCTTTACGCTAACATAGTCATTTTATACACGAATATATGGATGAACTTTCTTTGCTTGGTAAGTTAGAGACAGCCCAGGGCTTGTGCACACCTGTCTAGTACATTTGCCAAAGTGCTACACTGCTTCCCATTTTCCTGTTAGAGCCATTATTGTCATGTACTTTTTTTTTTAAGCAAAAAGCACTTTATAACTGAGTGGCTGCTAGCCGTGCACTATCCCTATAGTAGTTAACTTTTCTCCTAGTATTTCCAAGGTCAGGACTAATTTATAGAATTGGCTAAGACATTGGCATTCAATAGTTATCCTTTTGTGCTCATAAAAATTAAAAATTTTAAAAATGCTAGTAATTTGTTAACAGATATACTGTATGGTTCCAAGCCCTTCATGAATGTGTTAATTCATTTGTTTCACCCAATAATGTTGATGTAAAATGGGGGTAATAGCAACCAAAGCCCAGAGAAGTTAAATAACCCACTCAAGGTCAAATGGTGAGTTGCAGAGTTGGAATTTGAATGCAGTCAGCTGCAACATTTGTACACACCAGCATGATGCTGTTCCAGCTTCAGTAAACTTCAGGGATCAATCAAAACTATTCAACAAAGAGAGGCTCACTGATGAGATTTTAAAGTAAGCCTCATTGTGGAACTGGCACATGTTATCTGGACCCTTGGATTTCTCAGATGTGAACTTGATCCAACTATCAACAGTAGTAGTAGTGTCTGGTGTTACTCTAAAAATTAGAGCTTTAGATATAAAGACTGCAGATTGTTCGGTTTCATTTATATAAAATGCCCAAAGTAGGCAAAGTATAGCAAATTCATGGTTGCTGGAGGATTGGAAGTGGTGGGTGACTGCTAATGGGTATGAGGTTTCTCTTTGGGATAATAAAAATATTCTAAAGCTGATTGTGGTGATGGGTGGCACAACTTTGGATATACTAAAAACCTTTAAATTGTACATTTGAAAAGGGTGAACTGTATGGTATATGAGTTGTAGTGAAACAGTTAAATGAAGGGAAAATGAGGGCTTTCTTCCTTTATATCCATTTTAAATTGAAATTTTTTCGTAAAAATCAGAAACAGCAGGAAGACTCATCGTTCTTTTATGGCCCATGAATAAACAGGGTGGTGACGATGATTGAGTTGACCGTACAACCAGGATTTTAGATTTTTTCTACTGACTTGATAGTAAGAATTTAACTTTTTGTTTTAAAATGTTGACTTATATTAGTGAAGCATTTTAAAGTATCTATACTAAAAGGTAATTTTATATCAGTTACTGAAGAAAGTCTGCCCCTAATATATCGTCTTGTTTAGTGAGTAGAAAAATTTCATAGCAGATACATCTGACTTGCTCCATAGTTCATCTCATCCATTCTGCTGTCTCTGAGAATAATGGGTTATTTTGCTTGGACATGAACTTAAGGTTAGAAGGGTTTTTCAAAGCACATTGTACTATTTTGTCTGAATTTAATTCATTTTCGTGTTATTCATTATATCTTTTTTAAAAGTTACTTTTAATTTTGCATTGTGCTACCTGTAGGTAGTTTCAGCTCTTTTGAGCATCTCTTTCTATAAAGATGCATTTTGCTGTAATTGTTAATTTTCAAGCCTCAGTGGTAGTTGCCTAGTTCCAGTGTTCTGGGATTTGGTGAACTAGTATACATGTTTGCCCCATCATGACATTTCACAGTATTGTATATTTACCATGTAATCATTCATTCGCCAGATAGTTGTGAGTTCCAGTGTGCACCAGGATACAGCCACGAACCAGACAGACACAAGCCTTGGCTTTGTAGTGTTGAACTCTCATGGGGGAATCCTGACAGTCCCAGCCTTGTAAGATGGCCTGTATCTGGTCATCTCTCCACCTCTTCATCCTGGTGGCTGTCTTTGTCTGTGACTTCGTCACCTCTCTTGACTATTTCTTAAGGACAGTGGCCAGTACTGTGAAGCTATTAAATCCCACTAGGTTTTGTGCCAAGTTGTGTTAACCCATTTATGCCTAGTGTTCCACTATTGGAATGCTAAGCTTGTGGGAGTTATTTACATCCTACTCCTCAAGGTCATCACCAAGGTCTGATTTTTCACAAAAATAATTTGCAACCTCCAGCATAAATGGGTTAATGTTCTCCATTGCTGGATATTGTTAGTGTGTCTGGTTGCTCTTAATACAGCTTGGCAAAAAGATCTTTATAAATATCCACAGTCACCTTGTTGAATTGGATGTGGTTTACCTCCCACTGACTTCATGTGTGTCTATCTGTGTCCTAAACTTTGATAAAGTAACCAAAGCATTGCTTAGTTTTCTGTTATTGCTGTAATCTTCATAAGTCTAAATAAATCCTTGCATTAAAATGGTATTTGTGTGTGTTCCGAATATAATGCTTTCATTTATGCCCGAATTGTGATGAATATGCATTATTTAAATGAAGTATATACTTTCCGTAGAAAATACTGATTAAATCACATCTTACTAATTTGATTTCAATCAAATCCATGCCACTCTAAACTGTCATCATTTGGAGAAAACAAAATTCTTAAAAGAGAAAATAGTGCGAGTTAAATTGTCCATTCTTTTTTCATTCTGCTTGGCTGCCTCTAAATTATCTTTAAAAATTAAGGAATATGGAAATTTGAGGCCTGTTGCACAATTAATAAACATTAAGTTTTTTTAGATGGCAATTAGAGCACTAGGAATAAAAATTCCTGGAATGTGTGTGGCATCTTCTGCTGAGCTCCCTTGTGCATTTAGCTTCTCTTGTTTGTTCTCCCCAGTCCCCTGCACCTTTATTGGAGCTCTCACATACTGCCTGTGCTGTGGTTCGTTGTTTGTATGTCTCATTACCACTGGGGCCTAGTATGGAAGTGTAACCTGTAAAGTAGTACCGTTTGCTCTCAGTTGCCATATTTAACTCTCAGATGTCACGTATGTTTGAAATTGCATACAAATTCAGTTGATATTGAATGTTGTCTTTCTTGGTAGAGTTTCCAGGATGGCTTCTGCATCAACTTCTAAATATAATTCACACTCCTTGGAGAATGAGTCTATTAAGAGGGTAAGTTGAATTTTTCTATCTCTTTCCCTGTATTTTCATATTTGAATATTAGGTCATTTTGGGCTGGCCTATTGAATGAAGCCCTTTTTTTTTTTTTTTGAGACAGAGTCTCGCTCAGTAGCCCAGGTTGGAGTGCAGTGGTGCGATCTCGGCTCACTTCAACCTCTGCCTCCCAGATTCAAGTGATTCTCCTGCCTCGGCCTCCCGAGTAGCTGGGATTACAGGCGTGTGCTACCACGCCCGGCTAATTTTTGTATTTTTTAGTAGAGACGGGATTTCACCATGTTGGCCAGGCTGGTCTTGAACTCTTGACCTCAGGTGATCCACCTGCCTCGGCCTCCCAAAGTGCTGGGATTTACAGGCGTGAGCCACCGCTCCCGGCCCAGAAAAGCTTTTAGATTGGATGCCTTATATGTGTTAAGTGAGTTTTACATTTGTAAATCCTTTCACATAACTTCATTTTTGAAAACCTCTGTCTCGTGAAATTACTGCTAGACCTTATGTTTAAGGTACTAGGCAATCCTCCAACCGGAAAGGTTGCTGAAGGACATACTGGAGGGCTAAGGCCTGCTGAGCAGGCTGCTATACCTTCCTAAACATTGGCATTGTTTTCTAGTTATGATAAAATTGTTGCATAACCAAAACAAATACAACTTTTACAGAAAATGGTTCAAGGTATCCAGGGGGAGACTGTGGAATTAGAGGGAGATTTTGGAATATGCATTAAAAGGAAGGGATTAATTTAAAATAAGCTTTATTCATGGCCCTTTAAGGCCCTAAGATTATCTACCAGAAAGGCTAATTTATACTCCCACCAGGTGGATAGGGATGCCTAAGCAATCAGAAGGGAGCAAAAGGTGGTCTTTTCATTTGTATTACTTGGTTACCAATGAGGTTAACCTTTTTTTAAAAAATGTGTTTATGGTCGGGTAAGGTGGCTCATGCTTGTAATCCCGGCACTTTAGGAGGCTAAGGTGGGAGGATCACTTAGCTCAGGAGTTCGAGACTGGCCTGGGCAACATAGTGAAACCCTGTCTCTACCAGAAATACAAAAAATTAGCTGGGTGTGGTGGCGTGCGCTCATAGTTCCAGCTACTCAGGAGGCTGAGGTGGGAGATTGTTTGAGCCTGGGAGGCAGAGGTTGCAGTGAGCCGAGATCTTACCACTGCACTCCAGCCTGGGCGACAGTGAGATCCTGTCTCAAAATAAATAAATAAATAGAAGTGTGTTTGTTATTAGTTTGTATTTCTTTTGTGAAGTGATTGTTCATGTCCTCTATTTGGCTTTTGGGGGTTTTGAGTGGAATTCTTATTGATTATGTGTTCCGTGTGTGTCTGTGTGTGTGTACATAAATTTTTTTCGAGACAGAGTCTAACTCTGTCCCTCAGGCTGGAGCGCAGTGGTGTAGTCCTGGCTCACTGCAACCTCTGCCTCCTGGGTTCAAGTGATTCTCGTGCCTCAGCCTCCCGAGTAGCTGGGATTACAGGTGTGCACCATCACACCCAGCTGATTTTTGTAGTTTTAGTAGAGTTGGGGTTTCACCTTGTTAGCCAGGCTAGTCTTGAACTCCTGGCCTCAAGCTGTCCACCCGCCTTAGCCTCTCAAAGTGCTGGGATTACAGGCGTGGACCACCACACCTGGCTTGTTCCTTCTATTTTGATAATCAGCTCTATACTCTGTTACAAGTCTTCTTCCTGGTTTATTGTTGGCTTTTTAATTGTATTTATGGTATCTTGTTTTGATTTTGAAATACTGAAGTTTAAAGTTTTTATGTAATCACATATATCAATCTTTATATTTTCTGTTTTGGGTGCCTACAAGGGCCATCCTCATCTCCAAGATTATATGTTTTTATTGTATTTAAGTATTTTTATGGTACAAGAATCAGATCCAAACACAGGAGTAATTTCAAGAATGTAACTATAAATCCTTGTGTAATGCTGCTCTGATATAATGTATATCCTGTGTTAATCCCATGTTATCCTGTTTTAATCAGACATTCGCTTCCCTTATTTTGTGGTTGACCCAGAACTGTGGTATTTAAAAGGTATACTGAGTATTGCATTTGCTCGTTATACCTGTTTTTAGTGAGTGAGAGGTAGTGTTAAAGGATGATAATTTCTTCTCTCTCTTACAATTTATATAAGGTGTATGGTTTTGCTTCTCATTGAGGAAGGCATTCCTGGCTGAGAACAGTTTGTCTTGCCCAACTGGTTAAAATGCTTAGCTTACAAGTACTAGAAAATTTTTTTAATTGGCTGGGAATTTTCATTCTGCCTCTGAATGAAAAAACATAAAAAATTTAGCATAACACTCCTCTTTGACAGCTTATATCTCACCTAAATATGCAATTCACATTTCTCTTGTTTCATAATAATTCTCTCCATTTGCATAGCCTCTGACAATTCACAGAAGTGTGCACAGTGGCTCACACCTGTAATTCCAGCACTGTGGAAGGCCAAGGCAGGCAGATCACTTGAGGCCAGGAGTTCAAGACCAGCCTGGCCAACATGGTGAAACCCCATCTCTACTCAAAATGCAAAAATTAGCTGGGCGTGGTGGCACACACCTGTAGTCCCAGCTACTCAGGAGACCGAGGCATGAGAATCATTTGAACCTGGGAGCTGGGAGGCAGACGTTGCAGTAAGCCAAGATTGCACCACTGTTGCCTGGCAACAGAGCAAGACTGTCTCAAAAAATAAAAGTGTGCATATATATATATATATATATTTTTTTTTTTTTTTTTTTTCACTTAATACCCACAAAACTGCTCTGACGGAAGCATGAGTAACTTATGAAATGATTGCAGTGTGATTTTGGACAACAAATAGAAAAAAAAATGAAATATTGCTGAGAAAAAACCTTTTGCCCAAACGGATGTTACCGATGTGCCTCAAATGTCATCAGACTAGCACCTGCAACACATCTTTGTATTAATCCACTAGGGCGGCTGAATAACCTGAAAGACAATGGGTATCAATGGCAAATTAGACTCTGAGAACTCACCTGCAGGTTATAATGGTTAATAATACTGTGCCCGCCCAGCAGAGCTGTGGAGGTGATTGAATGAGGCACATGCTTGGGAATACCTCTAAAGCCAGGAAGCCTAGAGAAATAGTAAAGTGATGTGAAGAATTTGTACAAATGGTTCCTAAGACTTTTGCCAGCTCAAAAGTTCTCTGACAGACCACTCTTTCCTCTTATCTAAGATAAAGATCTTAGTAAATGTGAGGAAGTAAAAAGTGAGGAAGGATCTTAGTGAAATAGGAAACTCAATAGGTAATCACAATGATTTTCGGGCCTTGTAATAGGATTCTGGCTAATGGCTGTACTGTTATTCAGTTAAGCCTCTATGGAATTGAAGTTTTCCTTCCTAGTCTTCCCAAAAGATGGCTGAATATGAAAAAAAGAAAGCTGCCACAGTGTATGTGTATCTATAGAATACACTTAATATTTACTTTTTATCAGTTTCCTGAAAGCTGTTAACTTTAAAGTGCTTGGAAATGTAGTTTAAAAATTAATATTATTGAAAAGCATGCTAGCATTATTTAGTACTAGAAGTTGACACATCTAATTAATGTTGGTGCTAGATTGTATTTTTTGTTTGAAGTTTTGTGCCAGTTTTCCCAAATACTAAATCTCTAATGCTTTTTCTTTAAAAAGCATATTTAAAAACAATGCGTAAATGTAATGTCATTACTTCTGATGCGTCTGTTTTGTTTCTAGCCGTCTCGAGATGGAGTCAATCGGGATCTCCCTGAGGCTGTTCCTCGACTTCCGGGAGAAACACTAATCACTGGTAAGGACCTGCTGACATTAAGATTTGCATAACTTGAGGAGAAGTCTGGCAGGATCAGGTGGCTTCAATCCCACTTACTCTTTAGCGGTCAGACTTAGATAAATAGGCTAGCTTTGTTTGGAAGCGTTAACACAGAATTCTCTGCATCCGTTTCTTGATTAAAGAGTTCTTTCAAGAGCTTCATGCTCACAAGGGTAGTGATACTCTTGTGTCTGTACCAAAGACTGAGAATGATTTAGGGGAAAAAAATGTGGATTATCTCTTGAAAGTCTCTCATTGGAGCCATAAGCTCTCATGGTTTAAGGTTTTAAGAGCAAAATGATTTCCAGTCAATGATGCATGCTTTAAAATGATAAACTTAAAGGCTTGAAAGCTTAAGCATTCTCCTCTTTGAAATATAGGAGAACATATTGCTTTAAAATATCTTTCATTTGTCAGAAAATGGAAGTTAGTATTTAGGTAATATTTTGATGTTATTTTTCATGGTAAACGTATACTAAAAGGAAGGGATCAACTTTGGAAGGGCAAGATCACTCTGGCTTAAGAATGTAGAAACATCTGACAGCTTCTAAGCCAAGTGCTAATGTTGTGGGCAAATTTTATATTTGGATTAACACCCTCCTTTCAGACTTCAATGTATTTGAAGCGGATGTGATTACCATTCTTCCAGGGAACCTTTTGATTAATTAAGATCTGGGTTGTTTAGCTTAAATGGCTAAAACCTGGTGCTAATTAGATGGCGAGCCCAAGCGAGGTACCTTTGGGAATTAGCCATACACCGTGAGAAATTCTCTTCTGAGTCCACAATCTTGCACACATTCTAGTCTTGAAATGGAGATCAGTGGGATGTGTTCATCCCAATTTCTGGATAAGAGCAAAGAAGATATTTTACTTTTGATCCTCTTCATATATGAAGTTTTGGTGGTAGGTATCAGTGCCTGAACCTTAACCTAGGTAGTAACTAATGGAACTAGCATGAAGTAGCCTTACTGAGTATTTTTTATTTAGCACTTGAGGAGAAAGGGATTTTAAAATCATTACGAGTCATTAACACATTCAAGGACATCCTTGAAAGATAAGAGAGACATATTTCTATTATAATTAATTTTTCTGGTTTAGCTTCTCCTTATGTTTATTCTACCAAAGATGTACTATTCGTTTGGCCACCTGTTTTATATCACTTCAGTGTTTGAAATGAACCTAGCCAAACTCTATTCTAGACTATTAAAAAGAGAAAGAGGTTTGGTGTGGTGGCTCACACCTGTAATCCTAGCACTTTGAGAGGCTAAAGTAGGAGGATCACTTGAGGCCAGGAATTGGAGACCAGCCTGGGCAACATAGCAAAACATCATCTTTACTAAAAATTAAAAAGAGCTGGGTGCAGTGACACATACCCATAGTCCCAGCTACTGGGGAGGCTGAGGTGGGAGAATTGCTTGAGCCTGAGAGGTTGAGGCTGCAGTGAGCCATGATTGCGCCACTGAACTCTAGCTGGGGCAATAGAGCAAGACTGTATCTCAAAAAAAAAAAAAAAGAATAAACTGGAAAGATTTCTACTACTGACATTTATTTGTTAAAAACATGATTATGTTTCTGTGGTTAGAGATTGGTAGCCTCATCTTTCAGTCTAGTGGTTAGTCCATGAGACTGTCCCAGGTGAGTTGCCTTCCTCTGGCTGAAGTAGCTCAAATAGTTACCTTTACAACCACCTTAGGGTAACAGCAGCAGTATTCTCATTCACTTCTGCTGTTGAGCTGCTGTCATCTTGCCCCAGGTAGTGACAGCATTGTGGGAAAGCTCAGGGAAGCACTGTTAGTGCCTGGAGGTGATGTGGCCCCACTAGCTCCCCCGTTACCCCAACTCAACCCAGCGCGGTAATGTAGAAACATTGCCAGTGCTTGCTTTCAGCTTTTTCAGTAATTTTTAAAATTGTAGTTATTCTTAGCTGAATAGTTTATATTAAATTAGTGCCATTTGTTGTGTATCTTGGTATCTATTTCCATTATTTTAGGGTACTTTTTTTATCTTAATAGACAAAGAAGTTATTTACATATGTCCTTTCAATGGCCCCATTAAGGGAAGAGTTTACATCACAAATTATCGTCTTTATTTAAGAAGTTTGGAAACGGTAAGTAGAATATAAGACCATAAAGATGACCCTAACTGTTAAAGATATTGCTAAATTGTTTCTCTTCTACTTTGCAAGATTGACTGTGGGTCAAATTAACATGGGGTATATTTGCTTCTCAACTCTTAATTTTTTGCTTCTACAAAACTCATTTAACACTAACACTTGTATTTGTATATGTAAGGAACAGGGTAAATAAAAAAAAGTCTTGTCCCTCATAATGGTGGGGGAGGGGTTAGTAATTGTAACCATTTGCTAGTTTGGAGAAGTTAGGTATAGAACAGTGGTTCTTTGCTGGAAGCACATATGAAACCTACTTGTGGAGCTTAACAACACAGTATCCATAAAAGTTAAAAATAAAAAAATACAGCTGTCCTAGAGAGACTGCATCAGAATATCCAGGCCTGTGGTCCAGGCACAGTTATATTTTCTAAAGTATCACAGAGGAGTGTGAATTTCTGGGTAAAGCCCACTGTTCTAGAACTTTTCCGAGTGTTCAATTTTAAAGCACCAGGTAGCAGTATAGAACTAGGATGACTATGGTATGGCTTACTGCCGCTCTACCTTTTCAATCCCTGACCATGAAAGGTTTGTCACAGCATTTCAAGGAATGTTCCATCGCTAGGACAATAACATGGAAAAGAGGTGCCCCAGAAAGGGAAGAGAGAGTGAGTAGCTGCTGTGGCTGTCACTGAAGGACTTCCAGTAGATGTGGTGGGTTGTCATTGCCCAGGTCAGCCTGAAGGGGAGGTATATTTTGATGAGATGTGAATGGGGAAGAGGTCCAGGGTTCACAGAGAGTAGCCCATCAGCAGCTTCTATGCAGGTGACCTTGAGGCTGTCGGGGAAATGTAGCTTTTGTTTTATTGCTTTTACCCCAGCATTTTTTAGGACAGTTCTAACCTAGATTAGTTCATATCTTTTAATCTTTTTTTCTTTTATGGTGTTCATTATTATGTCTGAATTCTGAAAAAATGCTGTTTATTATCCCTACTGCCTTAGCTGTGGGAGCCACTTTTATAGCTGCCCCAACTTCTGGAATCTCCTCTAGCACAGTGCTTGTAGGGACAGGTACATGGATCAGGCCACAGGGCATTTTATTTATGTGACTCTATTCAAACTTCTAAGTAAGAGTAGAGATGAGTGAATGTTCTAGCTTTCCAGAATGGGAAAGAAGATTCTGAAAATTAACAAGCTGGATGTTCACTCTTGGCAACAATTGGCAAAAATTCTACAAATAATAATTTTAAACAGATGATTTTTAAGTACTTAGAAAAGAAACCAACCATTGGGAGTGTTACTGACACATTGTCTTGATGGAACCAAGGCCATGTGACAGACCCTGGAAAAATACCTGGGCCGAATGGTGGCAGTACACTTAGGTGGAGTTATAGCCTATGGATTTCAGGCTTAATGCTAGGAAGGGTGGTCGCTAACATCTTGCTGTGTGGGGCCCTTCCTTTCCAGCATTTGTGATGTACTGCAGAGGAGCACATAGAACACATGCATTTCCAATATAAGAAAAACCCCATACTAGCCAATGTGTGCTAGGTGACGGGATCAGGATTTGAAATGATCTTAACTGGGTAGGATATTGGAGCAAAACTAATAATATAAAATTGAATATAGATAATAATTACTTGGTTGTTATCAGTTGTTAGCAGTAAAGGATAGGAGGTCTGTCTTAACAGATCCAAGCTTATTTGAACCAGTAATTGGATATGACTGATTAAAAAGTTAATATTCACCTAGGCTGAGTTAACAGAAGTATAACATAATTGCCAGACAAAATGTAACAATAGCCCCATCTGAAGTGTTGTGTTCAAAGCCGGATACCAAGTTTTAAGAGGGACATTAGCAAACCGAAGAGAGTTCAGACACAGATAACCAGGTTAGTGAAGGGACTGCAGTTTGAGCAGTGATCAAAATAAATGCTGATCTTACCTGAAGAAAAGATGACTAAAAAGGGACATGATGGACCCATCTTTGAATATTTTAAGTGCCTTTCTGTGGAGCAGGGATTCAATTTATTCTGTATAGCTCCCAAGGATCAAATTAGGATAGATTGAAAGATTTTATGCTAATGTATGTGAGAATTACCAAAAGTTGCAATTAAACATTATGGTCCCTTTTGCTGTTTGTACTCTTGGCTTTTTGACTTGCCCACACTTGACTGTGTACCCAGTTCCACCTTGTGCTGTCACTGATAATGAACTGGAGAAGTTATTCAAACTGATGATATGACAAGGTTGTGTATGTAGTGTGACCTCAACTACAAAGAACAAAAATTGTCTGTAGAAAAGAGGCTGGAAAGAAATGCACCAAAGGTTTCGGTATTTGGGTTATCTGAAGAGAGGGATTATGCATGTCTTGTCTTCTTCCTTTCACTTGTCAATATTTTTCAAAAACCCAGAATGAACATGTATTACTTTTACAATTGGGAGAGTTCTCAGCAAGTTTTATTTTTGTTTGTATATGATGCCCTAGAGGATGGAGTTAGTGCTGAGTGGGTGAATAAAATGCCCGTCTGACACTGACTACTAACTTATTTCTTCTTCCACTAAGTTTTACATAAACATTTTAAGCAATTGGCCACAACATTTAGTTCAAGTATAAAAGCAAGCAGCTGACAGCAGAAAACATCATATAAAGAATGCCATTTAAATGGTTATACAGGAGTCTAAAAACATAGTCATCATAGTGTTTCTTCAATTAAAGTCCTAAACAAGAACATTAATTGTGGATTCTGCTGCAAACTGAAAATATTTTGTTGCATGTTTGACAAAGAGCTGTCATCTCACTGGCATTTTGAAGTGGACACCTGTTTGTTTCAGGTATGTAAACACTGCAGTGGGAGTGATGAGTCCAAATGTGTGTGGTCTGATTCTGGAGTTAGCTCTGCTATTTTGTAAGGAGTCAAGGGCACATTCCCTGCCTCCTGTTGCCCAGGGAAGTAGAGGAACAGTGGCCATGTCCTAAGATTGCCACAGTGGCTTGCTTCTACCTAGCCCTCCTTGCATGGTCTGCCCCCGCATTCTGGCCCGCACCCTGTCTCCATTGTGTTCATCCTTAGAGTGAGGCCAACCAGCTTGCTTCTCAGTTCCAAAACTATCATCGGTTCCCTGTTGCCCACAGAGTAAAATTCATTCTCTTTGTATGGTATAAAAGTCCTTCTGTCTCTTCCAACCTTGACTTACATCACTTCTCCCCAAGTGCACTGTTCTCAAACTACTCAGAGCCTTTCCTTCTCCCATGATGCATGTGCCATTCTCACGGAACCTGGATGCCCTTTCTCCACCCCTTCAGAAGCTGCTATTCATCCTTCAGAACCCACCTCAAGAGCTACGCCCTCTCTCGAGTCTTCCCCAGCTTCTCTTGAAGGAATCATTCCTTCTTGATGTCCCTGCAGCCTTTTCTTCATGCCTCTGTGTTAACACATTGCTATGAAACCTTCCCTGGCCCTTTAGCTAAACTTTTAATACCTCTTTTCTGTGTTTAATTTTTCTCTTGAGTGCTTGTCACTATCTCCTATGTTATATATTTCACTGATTCATCTTGTTTGTGGTCTAAGAACAAGGATACTTGTCTGTCTATTCACTGATGTTCTTTCAGTTCTTGGGAAGGAGTCTGGCACATTGAAGATGCTAAGTCATTGTGTGTTGAATGAATGGATTCTGTCATATTTATTTGCTGCTGTGTCTGTGGTCTTCGCAAATGCTAAGTCCTTTTGGTCCTTCATACCTAGCTAGTACAGTGTCCTGGTAGACAGTAATACACAGTAAAATTGTATTGAGTGAACTTTGGAGGAAATGGGCTCCTATGTTGTTAGTGCTGCTCAGAGGGCAAAGGCCTAGTCACTGTGGTTTGACAACAATGTGGCTCCTACTACATTGTGGCATCTTGAATACTAACATTGCTTCTGGATTTGAGAAATCCCATAGCCACCTTTTGGCCTTGAGAGTACTAAGGAATTTGGCTTTGGGTTAATGTTGTGACTATAGTAGGGCCTACCGTAGGTAGGTGATACTTTGTAATCTGGTAGGCTACCATGAGTAAGACTGCTTTCAGGATTCCTTCCAGGAGCACTTTGTGTTTAGGTGCTCTAGTGCATGAGAAAGACACCTTAACCCTCGTTCATTCAGGCATTCATATCTTCATTCCAGAAACATTCACTGAGCACCATGGTGAATGTAATACTGTGCAAGGTGCATAATACTATACCTTGAGGCCTGCACAGCCTCATAGGATATAGAGTTGAGTAATTGTGGTATAATATGACAAAGCCTGCAGTGGTATGCATAGTGCTGTGAGAAGGGAGAAGACGTACAAGGGAGAAGATGATTATGCCAGTGTGGCAAGTCACAGAATGCTTTATAGAGGAGATGATACTTGAACCAACTCTTGAATGGTAACAATTTTCTGGACAGGAAGGAAAAAGGAGCCTATCAGGTAGAGAGTTTCCATATCTATATGGTGCTTTTCTGTATCGCATGTATAACGATATGGAAAAGCACCATTTGTTATGAAGATGGTTGAATGATCGGTTGGAGCTGGAACATTGGGGGTTGAGGGAGGAGTGGGGAACAGAAGAGGATGAGGCTGGAAGAAGAGTCAGCAGCCTTAAGAGTCTCATAAGTCACAGTTAAGCAGTATGCAAGTCACACAGACAATGACATATCCAGTGTGATTTCAGGAAGAGAACTCTGGCTGCAGCGTGTGTGATGGGTTAGGGGAGGGAGAAACTGAAGTCAGGAAGCCCAACTAGGAAGTTATTTTAGTTTTCCAGGTAAGTGATAAGGGCCTTAATATAGTCATAGTGAAGATAGAAAAGAGGGGATAGCCATGATAGATTTGGAGGGCTTGAGTGGCCATTTGGAGGGAGGAGTTGAACAAACTTTCACTTGAATGATAGGAGCTGCTCCCATTCATCTGACTAGACATTATATTATAGGAGAAGGAATATGTTGTAGATAAGCCCAATGGGGAAATTAGTCTGAAGG